TTAAAAGGAAGTTTTTCCTTGCCTGTGTTGCCTAGTGCTTGCTCATGGTGGGAATTGTTGGGTTTCTGTAATTAACCTCAGAGTAGGTCTGACCTGCTCTGTTTGGAAAGCTGTGAGACAACTGTTGTTGTGATGTGGAGCTATATAAATAAAATTGAATTGAATTGAATTGAATTACCGCCTGCGTCTCGTTGATCTCGCGCTGGTACTTGATCATGGTGCTGTTCAGCTTTTCCTTCTCGGACCTCAGCTCCAGCTGCAGCTTCCGGTTCTCCTTCTCCTTCCGCCGCATGTCCGTGTCGTTGCCGCGGCGACTGCCTCCGCCGCGCACCTCCTTCCTGTTCATGATCTCCGCCAGCTTGTTGACGGCCTGCGGACGCACAGCGGAGTTCAGCACAACCCTCTGACCGAAGACTAGGGTGGTCAGAAGTATCGATACTCAAAAAAGTATCGATACTAAAATGTTGTATTCGGATACGATACTCGTTTTCAAAAGTATCGATACCCCCCCCTTCTCTCAGATTTATTCATGTGCTTTTTTTAAGTTGTTTATGTTTACCCAGTTGGGCTCCGATTGGTTCTGCCTCCGTTTAAAAACATCTTTTAATAGTTTTCCCTGACGGGCTAAAGTTTAAGATACCTGGTTTAGATAAACTCAGATGGAGTAGGGTTGTCAAAGGTATCGATACTCAAAAAAGTATTGATACTAAAATGTTGTATCCGGATACGATACTCATTTTCAAAAGTATCGATACCCCCCCCGTTCTCTCAGATTTATTTATGTTTTTTACGTTGTTTATGGTCATTAACAAGACGTTAGCCTTGAACTGCTAGCTGCGGCTAATGGCTAATAATAACGAGCTACCATTAATCAAGTACATATCTGACTCCGCCCACATCCAAGTCGGCCATTTTGATTAGGTCACCAATAGGGAGATCCCAGGCAAGAAAATGGTAATGCCTCATGGCAATATAGAGATTAATTTAAAAATAGTGAAATTAATCTTTTGAATACTTAATTAAACTCTATCCATAACATTATGTTAAAATAGTGGATGTTAAATAGGTTTGTACAATAAGTCTAAACGAGTTTGACCAAAAAATATTTATTTCTCACAATTATTAAGGCTGTTGGGTCAGGGTCAGGGTTAGGGTTAGGGTCAGGGTTAGGGTTAGGGTTAGGATTAGGGAATAGTTTAGGGATAGGGTTAGGGTTATTAATGCGGGCCACAAGTCACAATAACATCAGTAACAGGTCAGTTTGAAACCAAAGACACTAACCTGTCAAAATTCAGTTAAATTTTGGGGTCTTTGTTTTTATCCTTGTGGTATCAAATATTTTCCTGAGTATCGGTATCGAGTCGAAAATTTTAGTATGGTGACAACCCTACCCGAAGCCCCTCTGACCAAATCCCCTCTGACTGAAGCCCTGAGGGGAGACGGAGTTCCGGCGGGTCAGAAACCTGAGTTTTGAGCGTCCGCTCCGACTGAAGCTGCTTCTCAAACGTCTGCTTCATCTGGCCGATCTGCTGCTCCCAGTCCTTCGACTTCTCCGTGTCTGGAACGAGGGACAGAAGCAGATAAATGAGCTGTGTCTGTAGAGGGGAGCCTCTGGTAGAGTCAGAGAGTCAAACTAAAGTATTGACATTATCACTACCACTTATTTTAGACCTATATATACAGTGGGGGAAATAAGTATTTGAGCCCTTGCTGATTTTGCAGGTTTGCCCACTTACAAAGAATGCAACGATCTATAACTTTAATCATATGTACATTCTAACAGTGAAAGACAGAATCCCAAAGAAAATTCCAGAACATCACATCAAATGAATTTATAAAAATTGATAACCATCTGATGAGGAAAAATAAGCATTTTTTTTAAGTGGGCAAACCTGCAAAATCAGCAAGGGGTCAAATACTTATTTCCCCCACTGTATATATTCTGTGTGGAATTTTGTATAGTCTTCCTCTGCACATACGGGAGAGCCCTACACTGATCAGCTTCAGAGCTCAACTCAAACTATGGATCATGTGACCACTAAACTCTCAACATTTCCTTGTGATGCTTATATTGTGTATTATATGTTCTTTCTTATGTATTTGCCTGCTTAGGGACTACGGATGAAAACTAGCTTTGTAGTTATAATCCGGCATATTTACATTTTTTTTTATACTGATGTTCATTGATGTGCTTTGTCCCTATTCAAATAAATAAAAAAAAATAAAAAAATAAAATAAAAAAAATGGATCTGGAGTCTGGATCTGTGTTTTCTCCTGCCGGCAGATCGGATCCAGATATCAGATCGGGAAAAGCCTAGACCAGAAGCTTTTAAAGCTGTTTTGGGGGGAGTTTAAAGCAGTTTTTTGGGGATTTTAAAGCTGTTTGGGGGACTTTTAAAGCTCTTACTTGGAGGGATTTTACAGCAGTTTTTTGGATTTAAAAGCCGTTTTGAGGGCTTTTAAAGACGTTTTCTGATATTTTAAAGCTGTTTTTGGGGGCTTTAAAGTAGTACTCTGGATCTGCATTTACTCCTGCCGGCCGATACTCAGTTTTTTGTGAATATCGGCGGCCGATTGGATCCAGATATCGGATCGGGACCAGCCTAGTCTCTGTTTACCTTCCACGGCCTCCCGCAGTCTGCTGTTCAGCTCCTCCTTCTCGTTGGCCAGGTTGGCCACGTCGCTGGTCAGCGTCCGGTTGGCTTCTTCCAGCTGGACGACAGGAGAAAATAAAATATTTATTTATTTATCTATTTAATCAGGACAGTGCACATTAATGAACAATCTCATACAGATTGTAAATGAGCCAGATTTTAGCATAGTTGCTAGTTTACATCTGTGGTCCTGAGGCAGGAAGACCAAACAACACAAAATCACAAAATACAAAATCAGTCCAAACACACGTTCAGACAATGACATTCCATCCATCCATTATCAATACCGCTTATTCCCTGGTGGGGTCGCGGGGGGAACTGGAGCCTATCCCAGTGGTCAACGGGCGAGAGGCAGGGTACACCCTGGACAGTCCCCAGTCCATCGCAGGGACACACAGAGACACACAACCACTCACACTCACATTCACTCCTAAGGGCAATTTCCCCAATCTCAAATCAACCTAACATGCAGGTTTTTGGACTGTGGGAGAACCCACGCAGACACAGGAGAACATGCAAACTCCACCTAGAAGGGTCCTGGTTCCCCCGGGATTCGAACCCAGAACCCTCTTGGTGGGAGGCAACAGTGCTAACCACCATACCACCATGACATTACAAAATTAAAATTAATTAAATTAAATTAAATTTTATTTATATAACGCCACATCACAACAACAGTCGTCTCACAGCTTTCCAAACAGAGCAGGTCAGACCCTACTCTGAAGTTAATTACACTCTCTCAGTGAGAGCCGCTAACATCTGGAACAGTTTTCCTCTGCACATACGGGAGAGCCCCACACTGACCAGCTTTAGAAATCAACTTAAACTTTGGATGAAAGAAAGCCAGTCATGTGACCACTAAAATCTAAACTTTTAATTGTGATGCTTCTATTGTTTATTATATGTTATTTTTTTATGCCTTTGCCTGCCTAGGGACTACGGATGAAAATTAGCTTTGTAGCTACAATCCGGCATATTTACATTTGTTTTCACTGATGTCCATTAATGTGCTTTGTCCCTATTCAAATAAATAAATAAATAAATAAATTACAGAAACCCAACTCAGCTCAGCACCGGCTGAGCCTTTCAGCCTCTGAGATCTGACGCAGAACGATGAGGCGAAGGCGGTTTTAAACCCACCGATCCGATGGTGATGTCCTTCTC